TCCAGGCTGTGGGCGCTCAGTCTGTACCGGCTCAGGGTTTGTCTGTCTTTGGTCTCTTGTAGTACCTCCAGGTATTGGGCCAGCTTGTATGCTCTCTGTAATGATTGGTAGTTGAGGAGTTTCTGGGAGTTTGCTGTCTCATGTCTCCATTCTCTGATATCGTTTTCTTTAGAATCATGACGTCCTTTATGTGATATTTTGTCTCACTCTGTAACAGGAACCGTTCTTATCCACAGTCTTCTGGGACAAATACATCACCGGACAGTCCACTTGAATCTTCCAAAACTTTATTTTCCGTGGGACACAACAAACAGGTATTTCTGCATTCATGAAATACAGTCCATTCTTTGCAGCAAAACACAAAACTTCAGAATATTAGTCAGTACTTTCCTTGTACTCCAATGTGTTCCCCAAAATAACGTCAGCACCAAACGTAACCCCGCAGCCTTCCATCCTCCAGCTCACCTAGCTGGGTAACGGCCTGATACACATAGAGCCAGGATTCCTTTTAAACACTCATAGCCGCAATCACGGGCTACACCTGTGAGTACCGAGCTGCAACCACAAAACCTGGACTGGACCGCTTGCCTTCCTGGTGGGATCATGGCCCGTCCATCTCTCCACTATCCCAACCCCAGGGACCCAGAACGCAGTTTATAAATTGCCCATCTAAACCATACACTCTTTCCCTGGGGGCGTTAACCTAAAAGGCCTGGCAACCCCCTTCCCGGCTCAGATCAGTTGTGGCTGGGGCATTCCCTATCCATTTGTGATGTATAGCTGTGGGAAGGGGTAAGCCCCGTCCGCAACTGATATGGCTGGGAAGGGGGTATGTCAGAGAGAGTTCTGGCCTGATCACAAAGTCGCACATCACTTCTAATGGTTTGCCTTAGGGATGTCCCGATACCACTTTTTCAGAACCAAGTACTTCCCCTCATGTACTTGCCGATACCAATTACCGATACTTTTTTTTAAAGGGACAGGTGACTTTAAATGATCCATAGTACAACTACATGTTATGTACTATGGATCATGATTTAACCTACTCATGTTAGCAGGGGAGAATTGTAACTCTATTACTGCAGTGTACGGGACATGTGTGCTGTATATGTACTATGGATCATGATTTAACCCATTCATGTTAGCAGGGCAGAATTGTAACTATTGCTGGAGTGTAGTGGAGGTGTGTGCTGTATATATGTACTACATATACATTACACACGCCCAGTACACTATAGCAATATTATCCATAGTACATAATAGTACATAACTTGTAGTTGTACTACGGGTCATTTAACCCATTCATGTTAGCAGTGCAGAATTGTAAATCTATTGCTGCAGTGTATACTCTATATGTACTGTATGTGTGCTACATAAAGAATGCACTGCAGCAGTAGATCACACAAAAAACTAAGCCCAGGCCCCGTCTTACTCACTGTTGCCTCGATCGCGGTGCCTCACGATTTTCCTCACAAGTGAGGACGTCGTCGGCACTGAGCTGGAGAGGAGCGTCGCGTCAATGCTGCTCCGGATGGCGGCGCTCCAGGTGGGGTCCTTATTTAGGTGGCCAGCGACTTCCTGGAGCGCCGCCCACCGGCAGGAGCAGTGACGTGACTCTCGGCGCGACGTGGTAAGTTAAAAAAAAAAGCTGACAGCCTCTCCTAGCCCGATACCGATGCTAGCGTCGGTATCGGGACATCCCTAGTTTGCCTCATTATTAAAACTGTTAGTGTCATTCAGCCCTGACAGTAAAGTAGGCGCCAAGACTAGAAGAAGGCGCCAAGAAGACTCCCGGCTCTCATATGGTGAAGGCGATGTGGGTCACTCACACCCCACCTCCTAAATTCATAAAATGCCTTCTATTCTTTTCACTGAATACAAGGCGTGCTGTGATTGGGCCTCACCCACGGAGCCTTCACTGTATGAGAGCCGGGACTTGCACAGGGGTCTTGAGGAAGAAGCCGCCTGCACAAGACCATTGGCCAGCCGTAGATTGGGGGTGATACAATGGCGGGAGATGACGGTTTTGTCACAACTTGCCTGGACCACCGAGGTCTTTCTCCTGAGCGTTTGCTGCCGCTCATTATGTTCAGTTTAAATGTTTCATATAATTTATTGCCACTCGATCCTTATAAACCAAAATATTTTCTTATATTCTAACTCAGACATTCAGAGGAGTGAGCGTATTACGAAGGATACAAGGACGTCATGATGGAGAACCGGCCGGCCCTCACATCACCTGGTAAGAGGAGACTTTCATTTCTTGTATTGGGGATCCCCCTAGACACACACATCCTCTTTAGCCATGCACTGATACTGGGCAATATCCCCATACTAAGCACTGATACCGGCCATTTACATTTTTAAACCAAAGCGGCTGCCTGAGGTCCCACGCTTGTTGGGGACCTTTGCCGCACCTGCTTCCAACGCTGGTCCAGGCACACATCTTCTCTCCCTCCTTCATCCCGCCGCCCGCACCCAAGAGACGCCGGGCACAGTCCTGGTTAGACTACACACAGCCCTGGTGAGCCACATAGAGTATATAGCTTCATATTATTCTGTATTGTATAACGTATTGCTGGGATTTGTAGTCTTCTATAGCGGATGGTACTCTGCATTGCTGTGTAATGTATTGCTGGGATTTGTAGTCTTCTATAGCGGATGGTAGTCTGTATTGCTGTATAATGTATTGCTGGGATTTGTAGTCTTCTATAGCTGATGGTAGTCTGTATTGCTGTATAATGTATTGCTGGGATTTGTAGTCTTCTATAGCGGATGGTATTCTGTATTGCTGTATAATGTATTGCTGGGATTTGTAGTCCCTCTACAGCTTGGAGTCAGTGGCAGAACTACCAGGGGCGCAGCGTTTGCAGCTGGGACCGGGCCGCTTCACCATTGTCCTAAGACCATTAGTCTGTATTGTTTTAATAAAACTGTCACATGACAATAAAGAAAGTTATCAGTAATTGGAATTGGTGAGTAGTTGAGGAAAAGTATCTGTACTCGGTCTTAGAAAAAATGGTATCAGTGCATCCCTAATCCTCTGATATAAAGACATAGAAACAATGTACTCAGTCAGTGTGTGTGTTTCCTACAGATGGGTCCAGGAGCGGAAACACCCCAGAGAGATGTCCCCGTCCTCTGTATTCCCGGGACTCCATGGAGGAACATCAGGAGATCCCTTGGAAGAATCATGAGATTCCTCAGGAACATCAGGAGATCCCTCGGGAACATCAGGAGATCCCTCGGGAACATCAGGTAGATGGAATGTAGATTCTTATTAGATGGCACAATGAATCTACAATTGATCAATCTTTTCATTGTTGTACAATTATATATTTGTATAATTTATGGTGCAAACTTGAATTCTGTTCAGCTTGAAGTTAAAAAAGAAGATGGAGAAGAGTCTTATGTGATGGATGAGGAGTCGTGTAAAGAGGAAGAAATCCCTCCAGAGATCAGCACAGGTGAGGAATAAACACTAAATCCAGAAAAGAGTCCCAGATTCTCCTTGTTCAGTCACTACAGACAACAACAATCTCCCCCCCCCCCCCCCCCCCTCCTCTGTCAGTAGAGTAATGGGGGGACGGAATGTTTCTAGTGGGGGGAGTCAGGAGCCATCAGCCTCTATTAGACTCCGGCTCTCCTCCTCACATCATGTCACTGTGTGTTACCAGCCAAGAAACGTGACCAGTCTCCCCCACACACTCTCTGGGGTCTCTCGTACATCTCAGTACAGGGGGCTTCACTCTCATCTTTATTCACAGACCCCGGAGACCCTCAGAGAGACATCAAAGCTGAGGAGGAGGAAGAGGGACGTGTGAGGACTAAAGGGGAGGAAGTTCCTGTAGGGATCAGCACAGGTGGGTAATAAGCACTCAGGTCCAAGAGCTCTGTGTTTTGCGGTGGAGCTGATGCTGAGATGTCTCTGGTATAAGCTGGGATGATGATTATTATGGGATGGAAGCAGAACTCTGGAAAACCAGCAAAATACACAAATCACATCCAAATGTTTCCTGCTTTACCTGACAGCGGCAAAGTGTCATTCTGTACAGGCCTGTCATTTTACTTACAGGGAGGGTTAGTGTTGGGGTTCCAGGGAGGGTTAGTGTTGGGGTTACTACAGGAAGGGTTAGTGTTGGGGTTACAGGGAGGGCTAGTTTTGGGGTTACACGGAGGATTAGTGTTGTGGTTACAGGGGGGTTGGTGTTGAGATTACAGTGAGGATTAGTGTTGAGGTTAGAGGGAGGATTAGTGTTGGGGTTACAGGGAGGATTAGTGTTGGGGTTACAGGGAGGGTTAGTATTGGGGTTACAGGGAGGGTTAGTGTTGGGGTTACAGGGAGGGTTAGTGTTGGGGTTACAGGGAGGGTTAGTGTTGGGGTTACAGGGAGGATTAGTGTTGGGGTTACAGGGATGATTAGTGTTGGGGTTACATGGAGGATTAGTGTTGGGTGTTACAGGGAGGATTAGTGTTGGGGTTACAGGGAGGATTAGTGTTGGGGTTACAGGGAGGATTAGTGTTGGGGTTACAGGGAGGGTTAGTGTTGGGGTTACAGGGAGGGTTAGTGTTGGGGTTACAGAGATTGTTCCTATAAATGACATGAATCATCCTTGTTCCCTCTGATTTCTAACTTTCCCCAGATGGCAGATACAGAAGGTACAACACAGAGAAACGTCCCATAACCTCCCCCGAAGGTCACATAGAAGACAATGAAATCACTTCCAGTTTTTCCGGAAAAATCCAGATGACCCCAAATCTCCATCCCGTCCTTCCCAGTGCAGATCTGTCCTCTTATCCCTCCACACATGGGGAGAGTTCTCTGGATCATTCCCCTCCCGTCACCCATCTTGCAGCTACTAGAGGGGGTGAGAACTTTCCATGCTCCGAGTGTGGGAAGTGTTTTCCCACAAGATCAAGACTCGCTGTGCACCAGCGGACTCACACGGGGGAGAAGCTGCATTCCTGTTCAGAATGTGGGAAATGTTTTTCTGTGAGAGCTGCTCTTCTCTCCCATGAAAGAATTCACACGGGAGAGAAGCCATTTTCTTGCTCTGAGTGTGGCAAACGTTTTACCCGGAAACTGAGTCTCATCGGACACGAAAGACTTCACACGGGGGAAAAGCCGTATTCCTGTTCAGAATGTGGGAAATGTTTTTCCCATAGACAAGTTCTTATTGTTCACGAAAGAACTCACACAGGAGAGAAGCCATTTTCATGTTCAGAGTGCGGAAAGTGTTTCTCTCGGAAAGATGATCGTAATAAACACCAACGAATCCACACCGGGAAGAAGCCTTTTTCCTGTTCCAAATGTGAGAAATCGTTTACCGCCCGAGCCAATCTTATAAACCACGAAAGGACTCACACGGGAGAGAAGCCATTTTCATGTGTGGAGTGTGGGAAACGTTTCACTTATAAACAGCTTCTTGTTAAGCACCAGCGAGTTCACGCCGGGGAGAAGCCGTATTCCTGCTCAGAAAGTGGGAAGGTTTGTTGGCAAATATCGCGTCTTGTCACACATTTAAGACATCACACAGGTGAGAAGCCATTTTAGTATTGGGGTTGCAGGGAAGGGCTAGTGTTTGGGTTATAGGGAGGGTTCTCTCATACATCATAGTATAGGGGGTTTCACTCTCGTCTTCATTCACAGACCACGGAGACTCTCAGAGGGACATCAAAGCTGAGGAGGAGGAGGAAGAAGGACGTGTGAGGACTAAAGAGGAGGAAGTTCCTGTAGGGATCAGCACAGGTGGGTAATAAGCACTCAAGTCCAAGAGCTCTTTGTGTTTTGCGGTGGAGCTGATGCTGCAAAGCACACTGGGAAGCAAAATGGCTGATTCATATCTGCAAAATTGTTGCTTCTGAGGCATTTATTAGGCTAATTGAGGCACGACCATGCCTGTACGACCTGCGCAACCCCCTTTATAAAAACAGAGGAAGGAGGAGGCGGGGCTTGGATGAATATTGCTTGCCAGATTTGGCCAGAATGGGAATCTTTCCCTCCATCCCTGAAGGACAGCAAAGGTAAAACATGTGACGCATCTCGAGTTAGTTGTGATACTGTTGTAGCTTTATGTTTTTGCTTGCTTGTGTGGCTTTTGTAGGTCTGTGCAGCTGCAGCTCTCCATGTGTTGTGGAACTACAAATCCCAGTATGCAGCTGCCCCCGGGTGTCATGCCTGTTTCCTTTCTGGGTGTACAGACTTTTATATGCATCATAGGACTTGTAGTTCTGAAAGGTTGTAGTTATTAAAGGAGAACGATGGGGACAGGGCTTTTCCCCATAATTCTCCTTAGGGTAACGGGAGGACACAAACTAGCGTCCTCCCATCACACTAGGCTCAGTATATAGGGAGCTACAGCTCACGGTATACGGAGACGCTGAAGCGGATCCCGGCAGTTATGTCGGGATCCGCCCAGCTGCGTGAGTGACAGCTGGCTCTGCCTATCTAGAGGCAGAGCCAGCTGTACCCTCCCCCGTCCGTTCCGCTAGTCAGCGCTGGCGGAGAGGGGGGAATCCAGCCCCTCCCCTGTGACGGCAGAAAGCCGTGACAGGATCGAGAGGTTAGCGAACGCCTATATGTGTTCCCTCACCTCCCGATCTACTGAGACGACCTGTGACAGTCTCATTGTCACAGGTCGGCTCGTACTATGAGGGGAGTGAAAAGCACTCCCCTCATAGTTCTCCTTTTAACCCCTCGGCTAATGTGTAGGAGTTAAGAAAATATTGTCATTCGGATTCTGCAGATGCGTAGCTAGCTAGACAGGTCTTGGCAAATTTATTTGGGGGGGAGAGCGCCAAGCTCAACACACACGTTGAAATCTGACTCGGCAATCAATGTGCAATCAACCAGAACTGGATCTCTAAACTATCTAAACTAAACTAGGGTTTTTACTTACAGGCTCCCCAGAGCACGCCGGGGGGTAGAGTGTGCATTCGGCATCTTGTCTAATAAATGGAGATTTCTGCACACGGCAGTAAACCTGAGCATGGAGAATGCCTTCTCTGCTATTAAAGCAACATGTGTCCTGCACAATTTTGTCCGTCAGAGAGATGGCTTTCCGTTAGAGGATTCCCTGATACACAGTATGGAAAGGGCACATTGGGCTGTAACCCGTGGCAACATACGAGGAGCCACCATTAGGAACCAATTTGCCTCCTGCTTTATATATAGATAGATAGATAGATAGGAGAAGTGTCTTGGCAACTTCCACCACTCTTCCTCGGTGGGTTTGGCCATCACCACATCATGCAGACCATCTCAAATGACCCAGCAAGTATCTCGGATGATGTAGCTAGCCATCGATTCCCCGACCATGAAAGTAAAGTGTAGACGGGCCAATGACTGCCCAGATGCTAGATACCTGATTGAAAAAAGAAATCTTCTTATTCTATTCTGTGTTTTGCAGTCGATTCTCCAAAATTGAAGTGGAAACCAAGTAAAGATACCTGCGGTCGGCACCGGCGAAAGGAAAGGGAGTCCAGACGCGGGTCCGGGGCTCCAGCAAAACCAACCTTTGTCTACGAGGACCAAATTAAATTCATGATTCCATTTCTGGAAATGCGGAAGTAAGTACTCTTCTGGAACATCTCGGAGTTGCTGACCTGTCGCCTCAGGCGGCATGAACCCGTGCTTTGTAGTATGCACAATGACTGCTGCGTGTGAACAACAACAGGACATTTACGTATGCTTTTTAATGCCTGTTTGAACGTGGTCAGAAATGCGTTGCGTAAAAATAAAAACTGACCGCGATAAGAGATCATTTGGCTTCTTCTTTTTTGGGGGGGAAATTAGCAAGTTCGTCCTGAATGACACATTCTTTAAACTTTGCTTCTTCTTCTTGTTTTTTTTTTATTACAGCATCGAAAGTAGCTGGGAGGCTGCTCCATCCCAGCAGCAGGAGGTGGAGATGGAGGACACATCCCCAAACATAGACCCGGAGGACAGTGCATCTGTGGCCAGCACTGCAGCAGATTTTGAGGCCATGTCACCCCCGACGCCAGCAGCTGCACAAGATGCTCCAGGACCTGTCCGTCGTAGGACACTTGGCAGGACAAGGAGAGGGTCCGGCCAGGACGAGACAGATAGGCTGCTGGAGATCATGGAGGGCATAGCTCACCCAGTACCACAGCTGTCCTCTGACGCCCTCTTCCTCCTAAGCCTGGAGGAGAAAATGAAAAGGGTGCCAAAAGCACGGGGGGATGAGTTGCGCACCGGGCTCATTAATTACATATCATCCTTCATTCCCGAAGTGGAAGCCCAAACGCACGCCACTGCCCCTCGCCAAAACTTTCACCAATCGCCCGCACTTCCCCGTCCTCCACGACTCACACGAACCCAGCAAACATACCCTTCCCAGCACCACGACCAACCCAATGACTGGCCACCTGGCACTACCGCAACCTATGCTTTTCCATCAACCAGCATGGCACATCCCCCCTGACCCATTCCATTCACCACTGGGTCTTCCACCCATGGAATGATGGAGGAGATGGCAGTTAATGAGCCTGTATACGCCCCCCCCTCAGTATCCCCAGTTGTGAAGGCGTTAGTCACATTTTGGCACCCTTTTCATGTGCTCCTTTTTTGAAGACTCGGTTTGAACAACATGTTTTGTTTCTCTGTTATTTTTTCGTAAGTTACTTTTATACTAACCCCCCCCCCAAAAAAAAAAGTTATTCACTATTTGTAAATCATGTCTTTGTCTTTTTTGGGGGGAAGGAGGGATGAAGGGCATAGGTTACGGTGAAGGAACTATGCACTACATGTGGGAAAGGAAACACACAGAGGCAATTTCTTAGTTGCCCCAAATCAATCAGCTTGTTTCTTTCATTTGCAGTTTGTCTAATTGGAGAAGATCCGCTGATTGGTTACTACTGACAACTCGCTTTCTGCTCTACCGCAGGGTCATTGTAGTAAAATCTCCTTACCGCAAAGTGATGAGTTGTCTTTCCGCCGCTGGTAAAAGGTGTCCTGACGCTCCAGATGAGTGGACAGGATACCCAGTAGCTCGTCAAAACTAGAATAATAAAAGGTGGATGTTACGGGGTCAAGAAAGGGAATGGATCGCTTCTAAGCCCTTGGCTTAGATCAAGTGTAGTATCTGTTCTTATCAGTTGCCGGAAGGTGGTTTAGTATTCGCCGGTGTAATAGGTGGGTGCCTGATGGGGTTCAATCCCTCCTGGGTAGATTCTGGTCTGGTTATGCCAGGCTTGTCCCCAGTGGTAGAGAGCAATCTCTGAAGGTGCTACCTCCTGAGAGGAAAGGGTGCTTGCTTGGTCTGGCCGGGGGGCGGCAGATCCCGTGGTGCTGTGCCCCCTGGGGGTGGCGTCCCAGGGTTGCCAGAGAATCACTTTGGGTGTGAGACCCCAATTAGTGATGAGCCGAACACCCAAGTGTTCGGTTCGTATTCGAACGGCCGAAAAGTTCGAATTCGATGCAAGTGAATGGGTGTTGAACGGGTCCACAGTCCTCCAAAATGTACATTTAGGAGGACTGTGGCTGCAGGTATTCACACTGACCACCAATATAATGGAGGTTTTTACACTGACCACCAATGTAACAGAGGTATTTACACCGACCACCAATATAACAAAGGTATTTACACCGACCACCAATATAACGGAGGTATTTACACCGACCACCAATATAACGGAGGTATTTACACCGACCACCAATATAATGGAGGTATTTACACCGACCACCAATATAATGGAGGTATTTATACCGACCACGAATATAATGGAGGTATTTACCCTGACACCAATGTAACAGAGGTATTTACACCGACCACCAATGTAAAAGAGGTATTTACACCGCCCACCAATATAATGGAGGTATTTACACCGACCACCAATATAATGGAGGTATTTATACCGACCACCAATATAATGGAGGTATTTATACCGACCACTAATATAATGGAGGTATTTACACCAACCACCAATGTAACCGAGGTATTTACACTGACACCAATGTAACCGAGGTATTTACACTGACCACCAATGTAACCGAGGTATTTACACTGACCACCAATGTAAAAGAGGTATTTACACTGACCACCAATGGAACAGAGGTATTTACACTGACCACCAATGTAACGGAGGTATTTACACTGACCACCAATGGAACAGAGGTATTTACACCGACCACCAATATAATGGAGGTATTTAGGCCCCATCCACACCAGATTTTATGTGTTTTCAGGGATTCCTGGTGCAAGAACATACAGATTCTTGTGGCAAGAATCTCAGGTGTGACCATTCAGATGCACCATCTATTCACGTTAATGACAGGGTGACAGTGGCGGGATCTGTCTGTGGCTGTCCGCGTGTTATCATACATGATACAATTACTTACAGATAGGGAGAGATGCTGCCTCTCCCTGAACTCTGAGAGCTTGCTTGTCCCTGGAAGCAGAGAACTTGTGTCCCTGGACAAGCATCTCTCCCCCTGGTAATCGTACCATGTATGATTGCCTGCAGACTGCCAATAGTGTCCCCTCTTAACCTCTGCATTCCAACACATCCCCCACTG